TGCTCCCTCTCTAACGACCTGTGGGAGAAAACATCAAAAGTAACCAATGGAAACAGAGGATGAAGAGGGCTCAAGTGAAAAAAACACTGAATAATTTCTGAAGAGTTTTTTTAACCACAGCCTCCAGACCGTGGACCCACTCCAGGATCAGGGTTTTGGTTTCTCTGAGGTTTTTCTACGTTTCGTTTCAGCTTGACTTCAATTTGACTGATGTTAAAGATACAGAGAGAAAAAAAAATGGTTCAAACGCGACGTGGTCTGGTGTTTTTAGGTCAACGCTCAGAGATTAGAGTCGTTTACTGCAATAATGAATCGAGTGTGTGTGTGTGTGTGTGTGTGTGTGTTCATCCACCCACAGGGGGGTGGAGGGTTTGTTAGAACAAGCCAAAGAGTGGGAGCAGACGGGGGAGTACTCCCGGGCCGTGGAGTGTTACCTGAAGGTGAAGGAGGACGCCAACCTGGCTCTGATGGAGAAGAGCTGGATGAAGGTCAGAACTTTGTCGCCGTGGAAACGTTCACATTTCACAGACAGATCGTTCTCAGTCAGAACAGACCGTACAGGACCAGCAGTATATATATGTGTGTGTGTGTGTGTGTGTGTGTGTGTGTGTGTGTGTGTGTGTCCAGGCGGCGGACTTGGCCATCAAGTTCCTGAATACAGACCGAGCGGTGGAGGTGGTCCAGGTTGTCGGACCACGACTCGCTCACCTGGGGAAGTACAACGCTGTGAGTGAGAACACACGCATGGAAATACACAGCTGCTGGATTAGAATTAATGTGTTGATCCTGACTTCGTTGATTCACTTGTCCATAATTAAACTATCCAGATTTATTTAATCCTGACTTCTTTAATCCAGACTTTTTAAATCCTGATTTATTTAATCCTGACTTCTTTAATCCATATTTATTAATCCTGACTTTTTGATCCTGACTTTGTGTCAGGCGGCTGAACTGTATATCAACATGGATCTGATCGAAGAGGCCATCGACGTTCTGATGGAGGGAGGGGAGTGGAACAAAGCCAAGAGGGTGGCTAAGGAGCTGAAGCCCAGGTCTCACACACACACACACACACACACACACACACAGATAGTTTGTTGTGTTTTGTAGATGTAGCACAGAGCTCTGCTGCTGCTCAGTGCTGTACACCCCCAACATCAGAGCAGTATTTTCACTGGTCCTCCTCCGTCCTCTGGTTCTTCCCAGGTATGAGGAGTATGTGGACCAGAAGTACAAGGATCATCTGAAGAACCAAGGCAAAGTGGACTCTGTGAGTGCAGTGGTGCAGTTTAGAACTTTAAAACTTTTCCTGTGAGGAACCAGGTGGGTTCTCTGCTCATGACCTGTGATGCTTTGGTTGGTTTGTACACAGATTTGATTGGAATCAAATGATGAGAAGAATTTAATGTTGTTTTCTCTTCATGTCATGTGCAGCTGGTTGGTGTGGACGTCATGGCCGCTCTGGACATGTACGCAGAAAAAGGACAGTGGGACAAATGTCTGGACACGGCCTCCAAACAGGTAGAGGACATGAAGGGACATTTAGTATAGAATTATATCTGTACCAGGACAGAGTCTGTACCGGGACGGAGTCTGTACCGGGACAGAGTCTGTACAAGGACAGAGTCTGTACCGGGACAGAGTCTGTACCGGGACGGAGTCTGTACCGGGACAGAGTCTGTACCAGGACGGAGTCTGTACCGGGACAGTTGTAGCTAACGTTAGCTAATGTGTTAATGGTACCAAATGACCCTCGTCTGTTAGTTGGGACTTGGGGTCTGGGGTCCCGTGGTCTCCTGAGGAGAAAATACCGACTGTTGTGACTATTTCTGACTGACGTTCACTGAGCTACAACAGTAAAACGTTGTTTCTTACTCCTGGTATTTCTGTCACGTTGTTTTTTTTTCGTCAGAACTTTAAAATACTTCATAAATACGTGGCTCTGTACGCCACTCACCTCATCAAGGAGGAGGAGGCTCCGAAGGCGCTGCAGCTCTACGTCCAACACGGCGCTCCACCCAATCCACAGGTACCAACACACACCCGAGGTCAAAGGTCAGGCGACCCACCTTTGAATCGTCTCCCGTTCTGTCTCTGATAGATGGGACTAAAAAAAATGAGATTTCTTTTTTTTTCTTCAACCCACAGAACTTCAACATCTACAGACGTCTGTTCCTGGACCTGATCAACGTTCCTGACACGTCTGGACCAGAGTCGTACCACATGTGGGCCGACCTCCGCACCTTCCTGCTGCAGCTGGTAAAATGAAAAAAAAAACGAAACAAACATTATAATTTGATTGTTATTGTATTTATTTTATATTTTCTTTCTCCTTAAATTGCGCTGAGTTTCACCGGTGAGCAGAGTCTCTGGGTGGAGCCCCGGTTCCTGGTCTGGTCGGTCCTAACACTTCCTCCAAACTGCTGTGTTTCAGTGTGACAACGTGTCCAAGTCGGCCGAGGCCAACTCTCCAGCTCACCAGGACTTTGAGCAGATGCTGCTCATCGCTCACTACTGCGCCACCAGGTGTGCGGCCAAGGCAGTGGAGCAGCTGGTAAAAATAATAAAATAATATAAATATACACACATATTACTCTTACTCAAGGATTAAAGGTTACCTGAGGACAAAAACAGAATGTTAAGACATGGTCTGTAGTGTCCTGGTCTGTGTCTCCAGGTGGGTGTTGCAGCCAAACTGTAAGTGTCTCTGCTGCGTCACACGGAGCTGGTTCCTGCTGCCAACGCCTTCTACGAGCGTGGCCTGCAGGGTGAGACCACGAACGATGACGTCGGCTACGTCACAGCACACGTTTATTACACAGAGTGGAGTCAGTGTGTCAGTTGTGTCAGTTGTGTCAGTGCTGTCCTGTGTCCCTGCAGGCCGTGGGCTGGGAGAACATGGCCTTCATCTTCCTCAACCACTTCCTGGATCTGTGTGACGTGAGTTCCACAACAGAACCTGATCTTTAACACAGGGTTTCAGTGGAACATGTTCCTCTGGGCCTGGTACTCTTTACACGTGTGTCTTGTTCTTCTGCATTTAGTTCAAGTGACACACAGGTTCATGTTCTTTTTTTTTTTATCATAAACGTGGAAAAAATAAAAACAAAATTTACACATTTATGCAGTACCTGTGCAGACCTCTAGGGGTCACAGACCCTCTGGTTAGAGAGTCCAAGTGAAAATATGTTCCGTCTGTGTCTGCAGGCCATCGCCGAGGGAAACCTGGACGCTCTGGACCACTCGGACTTCCTGAACACGGACATTCCCTTTGAAGTTCCTATTCCAACCAAACTGTGTGTCACGGTGAGACGGGGCTCCTGGAAAACCAGTCCTGATTCAGGGTCTGGGTCTTAGTCTGATGTGTGTGTGTGTGCGGTACAGGATGACCAGCGGGAGCAGATCCGGGACTGGGTGCTGACCGTTTCTCTGGACAAACGGGTGGAGCAGGTTCTGCCGCAGGACGAACGGAACACGTACCAGGCCTCACTGGTGGCAGCAAACAGCGGCCTGCGGTCCCTGCCCTGTGTCCTCACAGGTGAGGGCCAACCACAGGTTTACAGCCAGTCTGGATCCTTTTCCAAGCACCAGAGTTCCTCAGACCTGATGACCGCCACCTACAGTCTGCAGATGGTATTGTTGTTACAGTCATTATCGTATTTTTTTGTTAATAAATTTTGGGTTTTAATCTTCCAGGTTACCCTGTGCTGAGGAACAAGGTGGAGTTTTCAGCTGCAGGAAAAATGGCCAACAAAGAAGACTGGAACAAATTTCTCATGGCCACAAAGGTACGAACAGAGAGGGATTTCATTTATTAATTTAAAAAATATATAAATATATATCTGACCTGTTGGAGAAAAAAGTTTGTTTTATAGAAAATGAACAGAAAAATAATAAAATGAAAAGAGGTTCAGCCAGTAGTGTCGCCCCCTGCTGGCATACATTAACTTAATAATTTTCTCAGCCTGTTTCCTACAGTGAGATCTGATCTTTTGTTTTTATTTTAAATCATTTTCGTGTTTTTCCCTCCAGACGACTCACAGTCCAGAGTGTCAGGACGTCCTGAAGTTCATCAGCCAGTGGTGTGGAGCTCTGCCCTCCGCGGGGTTCTCCTTCCACTGACCCTGCTGCTGCTCTTCTGTCTCCCCCTCCATCCATCCTCTCTCCTCCTCACCCCCCCCTCCTCTCTCAGGACTTTATCCTCTTCTTCATGACCAAAGTGAGGTTTTAACAGAAAGACTTCTTACATATAGAATGCCCCCCTCCTATAACGTCTGTGTGTGTCTGTGTGTGTGTGTGTGTGTGTGTGTAGCTGTGCCTTGCACGTGTTTGATACCAATGTTTATAATTATTCACGATTAAATAAAAGCAGAATTTTTAATTTAAGTCTGATTGTTACTACTATTACTATGAGATTAGATTAGATTAGATTAGATTAGTTTGATTAGATTGACCTAAAAAAGTGAGGAAACATCAGCCTGAAGGAAACTCTCATCACTGTGTTGAAATAAAACAAATATTTGATTTTTTTTTATTGCAGGAATAATTATATATTAACAGAAACAGAAAACCCCACAGTAAAAACATTTTCTTTAATTTATTTAGATTTTTATTGAATATACAGCTTCATCCATGTTTACACTCATTTCAGCTCAATTTGTAATGTTTTTAACAGAAAAATACTGCGATTATTTTTTTTAATTTGCATGTTTTGTGCAAAAAATAAATAAGCAAAACCATATTTATGTTTTTACAAAATGTTCATTTCAACAGTACAGAAAAAGGCAAGTATATTTAAATCCACTTTATTTTTTATTTTAACTTCATTCTTACATGAGAATTTGACATAAAAAGAGAAGAATAACAAAAAAAAATTAGTAAAAAAATAAGAAAGGAAATGTAAATTCTGCTGCCGTAGAATCAACCTTTATGCAGACGATACTGCCATCTACATCCTGGTGAGACGGTACCGATACACAAATCTGCTGTAAAATTAATGTGACTTTATTTTCTGTAGTAATTGAAATAGTTATTTAAATCTCCTGTTACGTTAACATTGTACTTGTTTGTGCAGGTTTTGAGTCTAACCACTGGGTGGAGTGTTAGTCCAGAAGAATTTGCACAGGTAAACTCCAGAAAGTAAATGACAGGTGAGCGATGGTGTTGACACGAGGAAACAGAAAAGACGGCGACAGTTAGGACAAAATATCAGTTTTTATTTCTTTCCTTTTCACGGACAATAACTTCAGTCGTTGATGTTCCAATCCCAAAACAGTATCGTCTGAAAAGTAGTTGATGAAAATACTCCAACATTATGTTATGGAATGAATGCAAAATGAGCACAAACACCTCCTGGTGACCAATAGTTGCACTGCATTTTTTTTGTTTCTGGTTTCAAACAAAAATCTTTTTGCGGATTTTCAGGCCTGTTGATAATTAGACAGTAAAATCCTAACGAGGAGTTTGAACAGATAAAAGACAAATTTAGCCATGGTTTACAAAGATGGCTACAATTAACATGTTTTAGCAACAATGAAAATTCTCACACTCTGTTTTTGGATTATGACATCAGCCGTTTGGATGAATGTCCGCCACCGTGGTGCTGATAAAGACAACCATAAATGAACTCTGTGTCTCTGGGAACGATCTAGAACGTTCCAGAATGATGTGGTGTTTAAAGATCGGCCATGTTTGACACAGTCGTCCATCTTGGATCTCCGATTGTTCCCGCGGTTACTCGGCCCAGCGTGATCCCAGCGCCGCTCCTCGGTCACTCTCTTGGCATTCACCGCGTGCCTTAATTGTATGGACATTTAAATCAAGGTCCGCTGTGAACACGAGGAGAGAAAACCCACGCTCTTCCTCCAGCTTCCTCTCCATCACGGCACACTTTCTGCTTTTTTTCCGTGGGGCGGGTCTCTTCCCACTCATTCCCATTTTCCCACCTATTCCCAGTTACCCAGCTTTTCTCTACTTTATCCCATTACAGCATTGAACGTTCCACTCTGTCAGACTGTGTCCCTCAGTTTTAAATCCCCCACCCCCTCCTCCTCCTCCTCATATTCCTCCTCTTCCTCCCAACGACCTTCAAATGACTAAAGGAAATCAAATCCCTGTCGTTATGTTTCTGTTGTCGTGAAGTTTCTCTTTAATTATTTTCACGGAAAAAAGAATAAAACTGTGACTCTAAAAGTACATTTGAAATATTCACGACTCATTTGTGGTTAAACAAACGGTTTTAAATGAATAAACTGGAATTAATCCCTAAATTTCAGACCTAAATTGGAGAATCTTTTTTGTACCAACATTTGCTGTACTAACAGTACTACGATCGTCACACGTCCAGATCCTATACTCTCTGTCCCTCATGACACTGCAGATTTATTTCTGTTTGTACAGTACATTATGTATCAGAGCAGCAGCAGCAGCAGCAGCAGCACTGAGCTCTGTCTCTGCAGCGTTTTGTCTCTGCAGCTCTGGAGGAAGCTTTAAAGATGCTATAGGCGTCTGTGGGCATGTGAGTGCACGTGTGCATGCACGTGCACTCACATGCCTCACAGAGTGTCAAGGGTATCCTGTTGACCTCTGTGTAATCAGGCAGAAAATTAAAAATAAATTAATAAATGCAGAAAAATTCTGACCGTTGACAAAACAACGTAAATCATTTCCATATTTAACGACGTTCTGTTTTAACAGTCCTGTCACTGACTTCAGTCTCTGGTCGCTAACGATGACTGGACTGGACGCTCATTATTATCGTAGGAAGTTGTTTCTTTGTTCACGTTTCTACAAACACAAAGACAAGTGTAATGATGAAGAAGAGAAACAGGTCAGATTTAAAGATTTAGTCCAAAATCAGCCGATGTCACTGTCGTCCGACCCTGATCGTTAACGGCAAAAACACTTCATCTAAATGCGAACTTGATGTTCTCTCGGATGGTCAGTATCTGTGTGTGTGTGTGTGTGTGTGTGTGTTCTCTCGTAAGGTCTGGGATTGATTTCCATACCATGGATGACCACCAGAAACTGTTAATGGTTTCCTGGAAGGGCCATAATGCAGCAGGCAGTGAAGGAAAAAAAACAACATGAATCCAACGTAAATGTGGTTTTGAATTCATGCAAACACAACGAACGAGAGAAAATGTCTGAATGTTCTGAAACTGGAGAGTTGATGGTTTCACATTTATTCTGCATTGTTTTCAGCAGCAGCAGCAGCAGCATTGCTCAGCGGCTTCCTGATAAGGGGAGAGGAGACAAGGACAGAGGAGAGGAGAGGAGGAGATGGACCCATCTGCAGCCTCATTAACCGCTCAAATGCTAATGACCTACATAGCTCATGTAGGCTAAAATGCAGAGGGTAGAGTGGGGGGAGGGGCAGGATCGTGGGGGGATTTGACTGCCTTTGTGGGGGTCGTACATGTGCACGTGCTCGTGCGTCTGTGCGCCTTCAACAGCTACGCTAGGTAGTACAAAAAAAACCCACGATTTTTCTGTCCTATTTAAACCTGAATCTGAATCTAAAGAGTCTGGTTTAGGTGAGTATCAATGTTGTTAAAGCATAGGTTGGCCATGGGAACAACGCCACCTACAGGGCTACGGTCAGAAGGCTCTAGATAGAGTGGTGCTGCAGCTGAGGATTATTGGCTTTTTTTTTTTTTCTAATTTAACAATATATATTTTTTAGTTTTCCTAACGAGACCCTGTCAGCTGGTCAGTCCGTACAGTCTGACGTCCAGGTTCACAGACAAAGGTTCCACTTTTCTCTGTCATTGATTGTTTGATTTTTTTGCGACTCAGTTACGGCCGCGGTGTTTCAGCTCCAGATCAAAGACACTCGTCCTACGACGAGAGGCTGAGTCGAACTGCGTTCACTGGAACTGTAGGTTCATCTTATCATTTAACACGAATCCACACAGTTACAGCAGAAATGGGACTTTTTTTTTAGAGCTGCTTTTACAGACATTACGGTAAATGGATTTAGAGTAAAGATTAATTTCTTTGAAATAGGAATAAGGTGTAAAACAGTGATCTGGGCGTGTGTTTGTCCAGCTCTAGTATGTGTATGTGGGTGCGTGTGTGTGTGTGTGTGTGTGTTTGCATCCTTCAAAGGCTTCAAGAGAGAAAGAGACAGCAGCTCCGCAGAGCTCACTGCGGCGTTTACAGCAGCTGATTTACTGGACATAAAAGAAAGGAGAAAAAAACCGTGGTGACAGTGAAGGTTACACAAAGATCAAAGAAAAACATTAAAAAAATACAAATATATGAAATGATCCAGAAAGAGGTGTGAAACTGAGTAACAATACCTGAGAGCGTCAGGGTGGTGCAGCTTTGATGGGTTTTTTTTTTTGTTTTTTTTTTTTCATAGAATTGATTTTTAAAAACCAGCACAAACCGTCCGTGAGCTGCAGCGACGCTGGGGGAGGCAGAGGGTGAGGGTCCCAGTGTCCTCCTGAGCAGGGATGCAGATCCAGATGATGCTGAGGATGCAGAGAGATGAAGGGAAGAGGAAGAGGAGGAGGAGGTGGTGGTGGTGGAGGACGGTGATGGAGATGCTGATGCTGTGGTCGGATTGTCCGTCCAACAGCAGACCGTCTGTCATTTCTGTGGTTTTTTTGTCTTTGTTTCCTCCTCCAGTTTGTCTCGAAGCAGAAATAGTCCAGAGTGGGAGAGGAAGCCGCAGCAGAAACATCCTGGACCTCACAGATGACAGCTTCAACACAGAGTGAAGGAGGACGGGAGGCAGAGGAGGAGGAAGGAGCGTCTGTGTGACAGGATGGAGGGAGAGGGAGGTAGGGCGCAGTCAGGGAGAGAGAGAGGAGAGAGAGAGGAGGGGGTGGTGTTCTGTTAAAGATGGAGCCTTTTTTTTTTACATCCTGGACTCCCAGCTCCGTCCTCTGTCCTTCCTCTCAGCCTCCTGTCCTCTCTTGGAGCCTTGTTCTTCCTCACATCCTTACATCCTTTCTCTCATCCTTCTGTCTTCACTCATCTTTTTGTCCTCCGTCTTCTCCGTCCATCCTCCTCTTTATGCTCCTGTTTCCCTCCATAGATTTTCAGTCATTTTTCACAGATAAATGTCCTTTTCTCTTTCTATCCCGACCTTCATCCCAGTGCCGGCCATAACCAATGTGGGGCCTTGGGCAGGATTTTAGGTGGTGCCCCTCCTACCCCCCTGTCCACCCGGTGCAGTATATTTTACTGTCAATTTGCAAACACACACAAAGCCAGAGACACAAAGTGTCAAAGAAAGAAGAAGTAGAATTAATTTGAATTATATTCTAAAGTAGAATATATTATTAGTTAAAATCATAAAATTGGAACGTTCATTTGAACTGAGATAAATGTAAAAGTCATGCATAAAGGCTGATATGCTAATATGCTTTTGTCATTTTCTATGCCATCTACTGGGGAAACGTGGGTATTGTACAGAAACGGCAGAAGTATAATAATAATATAAATAAATGATATAATTTGCAAATGTTTGGCAGGCCGGATTAAAAAGCTGAACGGGCCGCATCCGGCCCCACTGGCCTTAGTTTGCCCATGCCTGGTGTAGAGTGACACCCCCACCCCCCAAGAAGGGCGTGATGCTGCAGGACGAGCTACTGTACCATCAGGGCTATATACTGTTAGCCCTGGTGGTCTTTGACAGCAATACACCTAATCAAAAATGTTATAGGTTTTTGTTTTTATTGCTCTTGTAATCAAATATACATATTTTAAAATATATAAATTAGATCCGGTAAACAACAAACATTCATAATTTGTATACCACGTTGAGGCTTCATTTGTGTTATTTTGGACACAGTTGTCGTCAGTAAAGTGTCTGTTGTGTGCGGTGGTTGTGTAACGTTCCACCGGCTAGCAGACAACTGAGCTAACTGAGCTAACGGCTTTATCAGCAGGTTCGATGGTCGCTTCTCCTGCCCTCTTCTCCTCCGTACCCTCCTCCAGCCTCCGTCTTGTTTGGCTGAGCGCCAGTCTGTCACATAACTGTACTTATAACACCGGCGTGACATCCTGGCTTTACTTTATCAACAGTCGGATGGGAGACATGGCCTCCAAGCACCAGATGCCAACTCAGGAGGAAGCGCTGCCTGGGCGGACGGAGAGCCTGCGAGTGTCCGGTAAGTTAGCTTTTAGCATATTAGCATTACGATATAACTTGTGGCAGAAGTACAAAACTGTCCGTTGATTATTTATTTTATTTATGTGTATTAGAAATAGGCCTTTTAGCCGTTTAATGTCAAGACTGGCTTTATTTATATTTAATTATTAGTTTAACTTTCAGCCGTTGGCACCTGCTGATGTCCGCTTCCTCTAACAGCTCTGCCTGAACTGACGTTACTCCTCCCCTCAAATTAAAATATAAAATAAATTTTAAAAAATTAAGTAAATAGCGTAACATATTTTATTAAAATGTTAGGGAGTCATAAATGTAACGTTTTACAATTCCCTGGAGTTCCTTTTATGTTACTGAAAATAAAAATGTTCAAAAACCACTGCGTCATAGCTTCGACAAACCAAGAAAAACTTAAAAGATGGCCCTGAAAAGGCTAAAAGGTTACTAAAATTTGTTAAACTAAAAATTTGTAATATTTATAAAAAATAGTCAAAACAAATCAGAAATGTAGAGAAACATTTCAAGTCAAAGCCAAAGTTACGTTAAAGAAATAGATAATAGATTAATAAATTATTAATATAAGACTTTTTCGAATTTAATATCAAAGAAGGCAGTCAAAAAACGTATATATATAAAAATAATAACAGCATATTGACATTAATAACCGCATCACTTTTATTTACATGCAGGACATGTTCAAGCACGATAATCTCTTACTTTAACGGCTTTATTGCATCACCTGAATTCACCAAATATTTATAGAAGCCTACAGGTGGCCCTAATTTCATGTACTAAAAGAAGACACGTTAAAAGTGAATTTTATCTTCCACGGAGGCAAAGCAATCCAAGTTTAATTATAAAGCACGGTAAAAACAGCAGGTAATTAAAGATACACTGCAGAGCCATGTAAAGCACTTTGAAATAAAAACTCCAAGAGAGACATTAAAAATAAAAGACAATAAAAACAAGCAAAAAGGTAAGTAAATGAAAAGTGAAAGTTGACAATAGAATTTAATGACCTCTTTCAGTAAGTGAAGTGGCATGTTAGTTTCATCTGTGTTCAGAACATCTTTACACCTTTACCATTCTGGATGCAGTTCCAGTGCTGACCAGCAGGGCTCTCTCTGGCGTGTCTGTTTGTACATGAGCTATATTGAGCAACACTGCCCCCACGGTACTGCTCCGGTTAATGCATTAGGCTATGCTCCTGCCCGCTCACAGAAAATTAAAAACAATGTTTAGCATGAACAAAGAAGGCTTTTATGTGTCGTTAGCACTGAGCGTGAACTAGACTTCAATTTGTTGAAGGTTCAGATAAATGTGTGTGTTTGTTTGTGTGAGAGTCAGAGTCAGAGTCAGAGACGGGAACAGACTGAGAGCAGCACAGAGTTGGCAGTCAGGACCCTTGGCACTGGTCTGGACCCTCTTCACTGCAAGTGAGGGCACAGAGTCTTGGCACATGATGAATGGATCTGCACTGGCACTCTGGGAACGACACAGGGCGCACACACACACACACACACACACACACTTCCTGGTTTTGCTGTAACATTGCAAAGAGTAAAAGTCGAAGGTTGGGTGAAATTGTGAATTATTGCCTTTCTGTGAACGACTGACTGGGGTTTATTATGGTCTGACTTAATCCAGTTTGTGATTAACATTTTTGGCTGGAGAGTGGAGGTGGGCTGGTCTCAGGGAAGGACGACGCAGGGTTGGAAAGGGTTATAAAGGCAGGAGGGGGCAATCAGGAAAACAAGACTATCAGGACGGAAAACAAGGGTTCAGACGGTGCTGGAGCATCGCCAAAGATATTCGGGAAACGTGCCACAGCCGGAGAGAGAGGGGGAGAGAAAGACGGAGAGGGAGAGAGAGAGAGGAAGAAAGAAAGAAGCATAAAGGATAGAGAAAGCCATGCCTGGAGTGGTGGGACTTGGCAGGGTTAGCCCTCCTTTGTCTGCCTGGCTCGGGGCTGCAGCGCCAGAGGAAATGAAGAAAAGTCCAGGCTTGGTTGTGGAGGTGGTGGCAGTGGTGGAAGACGGGGACAGGGTCTGTCTTGCTCTGAGACACAATAACTTCCGAGGGACCGAGAACTCTTCTTCTTTGCTCCTGAGAGGGATACGATGAGGAAAATCCTGAAACAGAAGAAGCCGTTTTCCTTTAGAAAGAAATTCCGCGGAGATGCTCTTGGATTTTGGTGTGTTACCCGACAACAATATTTCATAGGCCGATTGCAGTTTTTTGTGGTAACTGAAAAAGGTTGTTGTTCTTTATTTTTAAGACTTAACATAACATTTTTGAACTTGATGGTGCGGATGTTTGACTTCAAAGAGTTGGAGCTACAAGAAGGTCAAGCACTGCCAGAGCTAGAGGTCTGTGAATGAAGCTAGCCACAGAATTTGACCTGCAAACTGTGAACCGTTGTGTTCTTATTTCTATGGCAACAGTTGTGTTAAGGGCAAAAACTTTTTTTTTTATTAAGCTGTCTTGTAAAAACAAGATAACAATTAATTTCTCTTGGTGCATCAAAAAGTTCATTCAACTTTAGTATCAGTTGGACCAAGATCAAAGAGTTGGTGGTACACACCATCTCTTGTCATGTCAACTGAAGGGTTGCTGGTCTGATTTCCAGAGCGAGTTTTTTTATGACCTTCGTTGAGTTGTTGTTGTTTGTGCAGCAACACTACGTGGTGAATGTTGTTGTGTCCATGACAACAGTTCTGTTGGGTTTAGTTTGTCTTAGAACTAAAGCGTGTTCTGTTTTTTTTCCTTCCAAAATGACTGTTTCAGTCACTTCTCATGAACTCCAAACAGATGTGTGAACAGTATTATATTTTAGGCTACTGAATATTTAAAATGTTGGGTTTTTTTTATATTAGACACATGAAATCACTGGCCGTCAAACTTTCTGGGTTTGAAAATCTGACCTAAATCCATTAACAGATGTAAAAGCTGTTTTGATTTTAATTTTATCTGATGTGAAGCCTTCACTCATTTCTGTTTGTTGTTGCTTGATATTTTACCCCCCCAATCCCCTCCCTCCACGCCGGCCGAGCACCACCTCCTGCTCCTCCTTTTTTTTAAGTCTCAGATGCAAAAGGATGAAAACAAAGAGCTGATGAAGACACTAATGTCTCCGTCATCACAGCCCCAGTGCAGATGTGTTCAGACAGCCAGCAGCTGGCCTGTGTGCCCAGTCTCTTCATTAGCCAGTGTAAATCATCATTACTGCAGCTCGCTGTGGTTGAACGTCTCATTCTGACTGAGATGAATGGCAGTGATGCTTTTGAGGCTAATTCAGGAGAGATGGTATGCTAATAGGAAGACGTTGGTGAACGTGACCGTTTGATGATTGTTATTTTTAAGCTGAAGAGCTGTTTCTTGGCACCACAGACGAGAGCTGGATGAAGACCAGGACATTTTATTAGTGGATCTCAGGTCCGGTTCACAAAGTTCATGTAAGTGATACAAAAAACAGACTGATTTCACATGAACTTGCTTTTGTTCCCAATTGACCTGGGTGGGCAGTAAGCAGCAGAGTGTTTGGACAAAAGGTCGAAGGTCATTTTCAGGGTTTGATGACGTGACGTTTCTGTCTCATGTTTTTGATAATTAAACATCTTTGTGCTCATCTCCTGCGAAATAAGAAATTCAAACACACTGAACTTTTGACAGGAGCCCAGGCCTTTGTTGTTGTTGTGTCTGACCATGTACGTGGTGATTAATGGGTTATACCTCCAACAAATCACTATAATTACAGATGCATTCACTGCTTTGTCTACTTCACTGGAAACTTTATTGGATGTCTCGCGCCCATGACATCATGTTTGTTGACTCCTAAGGTTGGATGGTTCTTTACGGTCCCAGAGGGAACAATCTTTTTGACACACCATCAACATTCATGTCGACTATTAACACCTCTCGTCATACCTTTTTATTTTTTTATATTTAATATAATGTTCCATTCCCAGGTCCTTTGGGTTTCGATGGTTCAGCCCAGTTCATCAGTCTTTCTCACTCGTACTCGTCTGTCAAACAACAGTGTAGTTTATCAGGTTTACTCCGTCCGCCTCTCTTTATGTGTCTCTCTCTTTTATTCACTCGTGTCCGTCAGCCTTTGTCACAGCCTTCGCCATGACAACACACAAGGATGCCATTAACAGGGTGAACGTGTGTGATTCCATCAGGCGAGGCAGAGTTCTTTGTCGTTCACACAGCCGTCTGATAACCTTGGCAGACGGCGACGTGACGGGCAGCCGAGATGCGGGCCTACCTGTAGGCTGGCTCAGAGAGAGGGCGTGGTTGGAGGGTGATGCCACGATGTGATGAGTGGTGTTATCACGCCATCCATCCATCAATCACAGAGTCTGCGGGAGTGGCTCTCCATCTGGAGGAGTAGCTGAAGGTCACGGACAGATAAACCGCAGCAGGTCTGAATCATGTCACGTTAACACATGGAGAAGTGTCGTCCACAATTACAGCTGGTCAACGAGACTGAAGCTACGTCTGGTTTAGTCTGTCCTTTTGTTGGTAGATTTGCTCTGTACCAGAGCGACTGTACTGAGTGTGTAGTGTCATGGTACGACCAGTGAATCTTAGCACGATTCATGTTTTATTTCAACCAATATGAATTTCAGCCTAACAATTATTTTGTGGTGCGACAAGAATACTAGAGTATTTGTATGAAGTATTTTAGTTACCTGCTGCTAACAGTGTGACCTGAAAGTCCGCTTTGATCAGCTTGTGTCACCAACATGGAGACGCTGCTGGAACTGTTGGTGGAAAAGTCAAGTCACAGTCTCTGGTTTGTCCACCTGAGAAATGACCTGGAGTTCTCCGCTGTTGAATATGTGATGATTACTGAAGAATAAAGATAAAAAATGTGTTTTCTTCAGCATGTTTGATGGTGGGAGCAGGATGTGGTGACATCATCACCTTCATATTTACTGACAGGAGGGAACGCAGCCGTCATCTTTGTTTCATAGTTTTAACATGTGACACGTTTGATATTCATGATGCTGCGGCAGCAGTTTGATCCACAGCTGCCTGAGTGTGAGACAATGGAGGGGAGGAAGAGGAGGGAGAGGAGGAAGAGGAGGGAGAGGAGGGAGGGGAGGAAGCCAGCAGCAGAACAATAAGGATAACTCTGATGGTTGTAATGATGGGTGGCAATAAAAGTGACGATGGCAATCAGAGCAGCTGATTGAGAGGGAGAGGAGGAAGAGGAGGGAGAAGGGAGGGTGAGGCAGGAGAGGAGGGGAGGGGGGGTGAGGCAGGAGCAAAGAGAAATAAATGAAGAGAGAGAGAGAGAGAGAGAGAGAGAGATGGGTGGAGGGGAGGGAGATGTAAAGGGAAGATGATAAAAGAGGGGGGAGCAGGAGGAAAATGAAGAAACCAGGCAATCAGGGAGAGAGGAGGGGGAGGTGGAGGAGATGTTGGGGGGAGGTTACTTTGTAGATTTAATTGCGGTGCAGTTGAAGCAATCTTTTTTGTGTGTGTGTGTGCGTGCGTGTCGACTCTCCAATCTCCCCCAGCCAGACATTAGCTGCAGTCTTCATTTGTCACTGTCAGCTCTGGACCTCCAGGGAGGAGGTGAGCCCAGCCCACGCAGCTCCTCTCCTGCACCGGGGCAAGGCACCGGGGCAAGGCACCGGGCCCCGAACTCATCACTGGGCCGTGCATGTTCATTCACAACATCGATGGTCAGGACAGACGTAGTAGTTTCAGCTGGATTTATATTATAAAGTAGCACAGCATCAGTTTTATCTACAGCAGCAGCAGCAGCAGCAGCAGTATCAGCAGCAGTAACAGCAGCAGCAGCAGCAGCAACAGCAGCAGTAACAGCAGCAGCAGTGACAGCAGCAGCAGCAGTGTTAGCAGCAGCAGCAGCAGCAGTAACAGCAGCAGCAGCAGCAGCAGTATCAGCAGCAGTAACAGCAGCAGCAGCAGTGACAGCAGCAGCAGTGACAGCAGCAGCAGCAGTGAAAGCAGCAGCAGCAGTGACAGCAGCAGCAGTGACAGCAGCAGCAGTGTTAGCAGCAGCAGCATTGAATCATAAAGGAATAGAAATGTCTAACATGCCCCTGCTGGACAATAGTGGTAATGCATTTCTATGTGTTCGCTCTGGTTGTTGTATCCTGAGGTTTTGGACCAGTTCCTCCAAAGTCAGTCCAGCTTTGTCTTCTTGTGTGTTTCATTTCTAACAACGTTCTGTTTTTACACACCATCTAATGTCAGGACAGATTAGAAACAATATATATTTTCAAATGATGTGAAGGATGTAAGAGGGAAGAAACAGAGATAAAAGAGCACCACCGACTGCTGATTGGCTGACTCTAGAACCACACACACACACACACACACGTATGCTTTAGCTGAAATAGAGCAGCACAAATTGTGTGTGTGCCACAGATGTCAGCGTGGATAAAGGCCTGTTCTGAGATCAGCCTTATTATTGTGACAGCATTCAGGGAGCTGAAGAAGAGACTGGGAGGCCAGCACACACACACACACACACACACACACACACACACACACACACACACACACACACACAGTGGATTTTTCAGCAACGACAAATGTTTTTTTGGAATTCAGACTGAATCATGTGGTTCATCCACAGAACACTGTGTGTGTGTGTGTGTGTGTGTGTGTGTTCTTTACAGTCATATTATTATTATTTGTTTTAAATCTAACAAATATCACAGACATTAATGTTTAGAGAAACAGTAGGAAATAACATGAAGCTGAAATGTCTTCTTTAACGCTGCCACCTGTTGGTGTTTTTTTTTGTTTGTTTTTTTATTACATTCATTCTCTCACACACACACACACACACACACACACACACACACAGTTAGACTCATTAGTATTCTGTCTGGACTTATTGTCTTTCCCTGACATTTACATTTAAATTGTTTGTCTCCCTCCTGTGTGTGTGTTCATTTGTGTGTGTGTGTTCATTTGTGTGTGTGTGTGTAGAGAGTAATGAACATGCCTCCACTTGTCCCCGAAGGCAGCTATTACTCACACACACACACACAGTTCTGTTCAGATGTTCTCCGTCCACAGACCGTCAGCGTCCGTTGATCGTCTGTTGATCGTCCGTTGCTCGTCCGTTGATCGTCCGTGGATCGTCTGTTGATCGTCCGTTGCTCGTCCGTTGATCGTCCGTGGATCGTCTGTTGATCGTCTCACTGTCTTCTTATTTTTCACTTTCTGATCATTGGCTGTGTTTTTTTTTTTTTGTTTTGTTTAATATTTGATCTGACGCTCTTTGATCTTTGTTACCAGCGTGATACCAGGTGATGTTCTAGTACCAGGAACCATTACCAAGTACTAAGTGATGATGCAATGACTCCCGTGTAACTGGTGCAGTTTAAAGTCAGTCTCTGATACTGTGGACCAGCATCCTCAACCAAGAGCTCTGGTCCAGTGCTGGTCCACGGGCCTGTGGTTTGGACAGGAAGAACCTGGAACCTCAACGGTAGATGGACCAATCAGAGCAGTTCACAGAGGTCGACATGACGACGAGACGTTAAACCTCACTGATTACTGATGTAGATGAGTGACATCATCCATCTGCCTGTGGTCTGAGATGACCACGTCCAGATGTTTGGTTCATCCTCCTCCACCTGCGTTAACTGCGCCATTTTTTTTCCCCACAGAATTGCACCAAGCATTCACTTAGACACACACACACACACGCACACACGCAGCCTCCAGCACATTATTACGCTGATGCACGTTAGCGCAGCCAGGTGGCTGTGTCCTCAAACAGTCCTCCTGCACCTCTGGCTCTGTGCTGATTAGAGAGAATTCAGCTGATATGAAATTATGCAAAGCTGCACACACTGTTTAAGTGGGTCACAGTGTGTGTGTGTGTGTGTGTGTGTGTGTCTTCTGTGGTTCCTGTAGTTTGGGCTGTCGTGTCCTGTGCTGGTGAATCATATTCACTCTGAAATGCACTGTTGTTTCTGTGGCTCCAGTGTGAGAACAGGACTCTGTCAATACGACACGTATCACGATACACGGGCAACAAGACGATGAAGATACATTGATTGTTTTCTCATTTGAACAACACTTTGAATGTGAGCGACATTTGTGGTCAAACCGTGTTTGGAGCCGTCGTTATCAAACTAACGTTGAAGGAACTTTCTGTCACTTTGTCCTGCAGAGAAACACAACGTGAACGGGAACCGCACCGTTCCACCTTTCCCACAGGGAACAGAGACGGCCATCTTTGGTGAGTGTGAAGTGACTGGGCACGTACACTGAAATACTGCGCAGTACACTGAAATACTGCGCAGTACACTGAAATACTGTGCAGTACACTTGACATTTTAACCATGGCAGATTAAAATCAAATGTTTTCCAATTGTTGTTTGTTGTTTGTCTGCTTTTTTCCATTTTGTTTTGCAGGTATGGGATGTTTCTGGGGGGTGGAGAGAAAGTTCTGGAATCAAAAAGGAGTTTATTCCACCCATGTGGGCTACTCCGGGGGATACACCCCAAACCCCACCTACAAGGAGGTGTGCACAGGTAAAAAAAACACGTTTTTCTGCCTTGTAATCTTTACTACGATTATATCACTGACCTCAGGATGGAGGTCAAGAGTCAGTCAGGCTCCGTGTACACAGGTACACAGGTACACAGATACACGTGTACTGTCACCTCCTTAGGGCCTGGGTAGCTCAGTTGGTAGAGCATCAGACTTTTAATCTGAGGGTCCAGGGTTCAAGTCCCTGTTCAGGTGGATTCTGTCCTTATTTTATTTTTTCTGTCCTTATTTTTACGCCTGCCTCAGAAGCAGACATCACTTGCTAGGGGCAGTCTGTTAACAGCATATCTGTTATTCCTGCAATATAGTACAAATGTATTGATTTATTTTATTTATCTACTAGTGTTGTAAGAAAACATCGATTCACTGAAATATCACTGGATTCAGATTTAATTTCTTGAACCGTAAGGCAGCCAAAATCAGAATGAAAGTATCATCGTGATGTCATCACGCTCTGTTGTGTCTCAGTCAACAGATTTTGGTCTTCAACAACCCAACATGTTCCTGCTCCCTCTCCGTTTCTCCAAACTCTGCTTCAGTGTTTATTTTATTTTTAGTCCTGAAAGCTGAATTTCTACTGTTTGGAACGTATTCCTACTGAAGTTACTTTTTTTACTGTTTGGAACGTATTCCTACTGAAGTACTTTTCTAAAGTGTTTTCCCGTCACAGAGGAGGAGAGATAAACTTTACTGAACTCTAAGCTCACAGATCAGAGAACCCACTGCTGCTTTATTTTCTGTTCTGGCTCTGCTTCATTTCACATGCTGCTGAAGATGAATTTATTCCTGTGAGATCGGACTGGTGCGGCATTAATTTAATATCGACGGCTGCTTTGTCTCTGTTCACCAATAACTTAGGGTGAGAATCCATAACTCCTGATATTAAAAAAGTAATAAGAAAAAGAGAGAGAGGCAGACTGAGAGAGGGAGGGAGGAAGTGGGAGCAGGGATGAGAGGGAGATGATGTTGATGGTGATGAGGTCAAACTCATTACCACCAGCAGCTGCTGCCTGTTCTTCTGCAGGAGTCCTGGTTTGTTCACATTCAAATTAGCCCTGAAATAATCAGTTGATTTTTTTTTTTTGTACAGTAAATAGTTGCAGTCATTTTTAATGAGCCGCTGTCAGTGTTGGATAAGAATCTCTGTCACAGACGTGAACGCCTCTTATCTCACATCATCGGTTCCAGAACGTCAAGTCTCAAGAGTTTTTGTTTTGTTTTTGTTTTTCACTGTTCCAGGTAAAACAGGTCACACGGAGGTGGTGAGAGTCGTCTTCCATCCTGAGCAGATCAGCTACGCACAACTTCTCAAAGTCTTCTGGGAAAACCACGACCCCACTCAAGGTACAAAAACACTGAGGTTAAAAATCGGTGTCAACAAACATGAACTCGACAGTCGCCAGGTACTACGGAAGAGGGGGGAGGGAGGGGTGAGACTGTAGAGAGGCAACCGTTCACACTCACATTAACACTCACATTCACACCTGCAGTTGGAAAAGAAATATCATCAGAATTAATCAAGGTTCGATGTTAATCAACATTGAAAAAACATATTTGTTAAATTTGTAGAACAGACAGCCTGCCAACAGCAGGTAGAGGTCAGTGTTTCTCACCTATCTCTATCTGCGGAACCGGCAGTCGACCAATCACAAGCCTTCAACCACTATTGGGTTTTGAAATATTCACCCTTTCTGGTGCATTACAAAGGGCAAATAACTGCCCGCCTTCATCAACCCGTATGGTGTGACACGGTATCAGCTCAGTCCCCAGTCAATCTGTACTGAACATCTGACCTGAAACACTTTCACCCAGATGTTATCTCCTCTTCCCTCATCTGTTTGTTCCAAAACGAGCAGTTCACGTGACGCCTGCGCTCAGTGTGCAGACTGTCCGTCTGATCGGTTCTCAGCGAGAGGAATGAAGATGAGTGGATCACAGAGATTTGACCAGATAACGTCCAGATTCTTTCTGTGCTTCACATGATCCGTGTCTTTTCCGTGATGCCTGAGGTGAAAAGTACAAGGTGTATGTGAGAAAATACCAGCGGTTTGATGGTCCGTAAAGACTGGCCTCAGGACTGAGGTCTGAAATAGGTCCCACAACCTCCTGGTTAATGAATACGTCCATGGACAAAGTCTGTTTCCACCGTGGCTCAGGGCTGGTTGATACCCCTGGACCAGGTGAGGCTGAGGCCTGGTCTGGTGGTGACCATCAGTGCACCTGACCTGGGGGGTCACAGACCTGGGGTGTGTGTGTGTGGAGGGACGACAGACTTTGTTGTGTCTAAAACCTGGGAGCTCCAACCAAACATTTGTTCCGACAGCGAGAGAATCTGATGCAGGAGTGATGAAAAGATGTGTCACAGAACCGTCC